CTCTAACATTAACTTGCGTACTGACCCAACTACACACAGAGTTTCTGTCCTAAACACTCGCAACATGCAAAACAGTCCGAAACGAGAATTCGAACGCCGTGCCTTACTACATTCATGTGCTGCCTATGTAAGCGCTGCCGTGTGCGTGCATATAAGATAGAAGTATATTATAGTAAATAAATAAATATAAGGCATATAAGCTATACGTTAGTGCCGCTCCAACAATACAAGTGCCGCTATATTACCTATAATTATTAAATATATAATTATATAAACTATATATATGAATATATATATATATATATATATATATATATATATAAGATATCGTCTTAACGCTGAAAGTAACAAGGACGAGGACGTGATATTTACCTGAGCCAGATCGAGCTGATTCCGAAACTACCTGGACTACATGTAGCAGAAGCACAGTTGTGCACTGAGTCAGATCCGACGCTCTCGCTATAATCGATGTCGAGCTCACTCGACGGCGTCTCCGCTAGAGGTCGCGTGTTGCGGGTAACGAAGGCGCGTGTCTCTTGTTGGCCGCTATTCGCCTACTTCCCTCTCGATGACAACACCCGCCCCCATACTGAAGATGCACGCACAGCACCACACACACACGCCACGTGCGCTGTCAACTAGCAATTTAATGGCGAAAAACATTTTCGCTTCCGGGTTCGAGTTCCGTGTGCATAGCGATGCCTTTCGTGTCCAAATACTCTCTCCTCTTCATCGCTCCTCTTCTCGCTCTCACATGACTTTTCCTCTCCTCCTCTCTCTCTCTCTCACGCTCGTATTCCTCTCCTCTCTCTCTCCCTCTCTCTCTCCTCCCCCATCGCGTCTTTCTTCTCTCTTTCTCGTTCTCGTCTCCCTTTCTCTCTCATCTTTTCTCTTCTCTCTCTGTCTGCCCTCTCTGTCCCTCTGCTCGTGCCTGTTTTCTCTCTCTCTCCACAGTTCACATCGTCTTCTCTCTCCTTCTCTCTCTTCCTCATCTTCGCTCTGCTCTCTGCTCCTCTCTCCCCCCGCTCACGGGCTCGTGTCTCTCTCTCTCCTCCTTCCTCTCCTTCTCGCCCCCATCCACTCTCTCTCTCTCTCTCTTTCTCTCGCTCGCTCGCTTCTCTCTCTGTCTTTCACCCCTCTCTGTCTGATTATCTCTCTTATTTCTCTCTCGTTCTTTCTCTAACTCTTCTTCTTCCCTCCGGCACCACTCACCTCCCTCCGTGCGTGATGTGCGCCGCTAAGAGAGGCTTACGGAGGCGGAGAGAAGCTAATGGTAGCGGGGAGAAGCTTAACTTAGTGGATCCGCGGGATTATGTAGTTCACTAGCAGACGCATCTGGCTAAACACGTGATAACCGTTAGATGAACCAAGCGATACCCAAGGCCGCTGCAACAAAATGACTAGATAATTAATTTTTGATTTTTGATTTTTAATTTTTGATTTTTGATTTTTGTTTTTTGATTTTTGATTTTTGATTTTTTGATTTTTGCGATGCTGCTGCTTCTGCGTTGCCGTATTTGGAGATTTCACATAATACGCGTATAATATTTTTATATGGGAAATCTATCGTCCTACCAGACAGAGGCTATATCAGAGAGGAGAATTATCACAAGAAGGAGAATTGTTGTTATTTTTCATCATCCTATGCTCTGGGTCGGAGTAATAATATGAATACGCATATTATTAAATACATGATGTTAAGAGATAAATCGATTCAAAAGGGTTAATTAGAGGTTGTTGAGATTTTAGATATTTCCGCCCCAGTTATTGAGATTCCAGTGGCTGATATGACGTATAATCGGTGAGATCGTATCTAAACAACACCAAACTATGTAAAATGCTCGCCAATGATTATACATTCATCGTACGTACTACGTAGTAAACGATGATATAAAAATGAATAAAGCGCATCGCACATCAACATTATTATTATTATTATTAAATCTTTATTGCATAAATTCAGATACAAATACATGTACTCACGACAGTTTTTTTCATAGAGAAAATAATCTGATAAAACTAATAGTGTTGAGTAGTTAAAATGATAACATTTCTGACGGATACAGTACAATTACAATGCTATACAACATGAAGAAAAAATATATTTAAGAAAAAACAAAAAAACTTTAGCATATTCTGTATTAGTAAAGTGATTAGGACAACATGAGGAAAAAATAGATACTAACTCAGCCATGAGATAGAATAGATAGTGCATCTATCTCCTAGTAAATAGGTAGCACAACATAACATGCAGTCTTTACAGAGGCACGCCCATCACTACTAAGCGGATTTAAAATGAATTCTGCGATTAATATATTAACTACAACTCAAAATAAATGACTGGGTAGTATCGTAGAAAATATCGCGACTTCGTGACATACTTTGAATTGTATCAAGTTTTTGCACTGATGTTTGCTTTGATAACGCTCTTACGTGACTACATCAATAGCCGTCGTGCCCATTGGTGCGTCAGATTTCATTGTAAACACTACTATATATAACCTGTTCAGAATGCGCACGCTCTCTCTTTCTTTCTCTCACTCTCATTCTTTCTCTCTCTCTCTCCCCGTTTCTCTCTCTCTCTTTCTCTCTCTTACTCTCACTCTCATTCTTTCTCTCGCTTACCCTTTCTTTCTCTCTCTCTCTCTCTCTCTCTCTCTCTCTCTCTCTCTCTCTCTCTCTCTCTCTCTCTCTCTCTCTCTCTCTCTCTCTCTCTCTCTCTCTCTCTCTCTCTCTCTCTCTCTCTCTCTCTCTCTCTCTCTCTCTCTCTCTCTCTCTCTCTCTCTCTCTCTCTCTCTCTCTCTCTCTCTCTCTCTCTCTCTCTCTCTCTCTGACTCTCTCTCTCTCTCTCTCTCTCTTTCTCTCCTTCCCGTTCTCTCTCTCGCGTTGCGTGTCGTCTGCCGCCCGTCGCTGTTTGTTCCGGCGCCGCGAGGGGGCGCGCTCATGACGACGTCACTCCTTTATGCGCAGCGTGGTGCTGACGTCACACATTGTCAGCACACGTGACTCTCTCAATGGGTAAACGAGCATTGGCAGGGGAGTTTGTGTTCTAGGTTGGTGGCTACGTCAGGGCTTGTATGGGTTGGGGCTTCCACCCTTCCTCCCTTCCTTCCATCCTTTCTCCTACCCTGCCTCCCTCCCTTCTTCCCCCTTTCCCTTCCTTCCTCCCTCCCTCCCTCCCTCCCTCCCTCCCTCCCTCCCTCCCT